ACACAAAACTGTCGATTCGCCAACGCAGATCAGAGAATCAAAGGCTTCAAACACATGACATACATTGGTAAAAACACATAGAGCCATTGGTCCATTCGTGGCAGAGACCAATGTCCATAAATGTTATTAAATATCCACAGATGTTGTTGAATGAATGTGGCGTGTCCTGGATCATCACTGTCCTCAGAGCCTCCTGCAGCAGCGAGGATCCAGTCTGAAAACCCAGGAGGAGATAATGGGAAATCTCTGGGAGGCCCACATTGAGGGAGGGATCTGCTCCCACAGACGGACAATGTGGATCCAGGACCTGAGGATTGATCATTTTGGTTTAAGAATATGTACTTCAATGTGTTTATGTACAGCCCTAAATCTCAACAGCATCGTCTCAGAGGACAACATCCGTCCACAACAGATCAGAGAATCAGAACGTGCAATAATAACAAACACATATAGGAGCAATTGGTCCATTTCCATGACCCTGACGTCCCTGTGCGTTGTATTCATGATGCTTCTTCTGTACTTTGGTTTCTGGAGCTGTCTTGTGTGTGTTATTAATTGTGAAGTGTTTTCTGTCTGAATGCGGTTTTCTAACTTGTGACACGATGGTGATTAATGTTCTTCATGCATACCAACCCAGACTCTGAGGAGCACAGGGACTGGCCTCCTGCTGGGACTCTGAGGAGCACAGGGACGGGCTTCCTGAAGGAGTGAGACAGGCTTCTTCTCTGACATATTTAACTCTAGAATGAAAACCGTTCTTAAAATCTAACTGATCATCACTGAGCCACATTTAATGAACTGCGCCATATAAATAACTGTAGATTGATTGATTGTTCTACACGTCCTGGGTCAGATTAACATTAAATCTAAGCAGAATTGTATTTTCCACCACTATAAAGGTAAAAGTGCACTTTATTAATCCCTGTAGGACAATTCATCCTCTGCATTTGACCCATCCTGATGCCACAAAGGCTTACGTCAGGGGCAGTGGTTGCCGTAGTAACAGCGCCCGGGAACCCATCTCCAGATGATGCTGCTTGGCTTGGTCAGGACCAGAGCTGGAGGATTTACTTAGTGTCCATGTTTTTAGTAATAGGGGAAACCTGAGTACCCGGAGGAAACCTACGCAGGCACGGGGAGAAGATGCAAACTCCACTCAGAAAGACCCCATTCCAACCGGGATTCGAACCCAGGAGCTTCTTGCTGACAAGCGAGAGTGCTATCCACTCAGCCACCGTGCGTGCCCTGTGTTCATATTTCACTCTTTAAAAACTTGAACAGACAACACATGGTATTATTTGAATTCTACATAAATAACACACTTAACTCTCTCTATTTTCAAGATTACATTATTGCTGCTGCACAGGTTTGTGGTTAGGATTTGACGTTGAGACCCCGACAGAGAACTGCACGCTTACAGAGAGAGATTATGAGATGAAATCCCCGGGGCCTAGACCCTGGTGGTGGTAGTTTTAGGAGAAGGATGAAAGAGCTGGAACCTGGAAAGAGGCGGAGATGGGGAGGAGGAGGGTTGCAGCGTGAATGAATCTGCTGTTTGGATGGTGCTTCGTCGTGATATCATCTGATTAATGCAGGTGAGGATTGGCGTGTAGCGCTGCAGCTGAGTGTGATTGACAGATGCTGTTGCCGTGAGCGACGGTGGGATGACTTTGAGCGCTGTGAGCTGTGTACTTCCAGTCTGAATTTCTAACAAACTCACAATTATGTTTAAGGATTAACATGAGCCAATAGGAAACAATCCATATTTATCCATTTCTATTTATACCATTCCATTCAAAAAGCTGATTCATTAAACACTGATTCCAATAAATTAGCATTCACTTGCTCTATTTTAATTAGGATTAAATCAGAATTACGATTTTGATAATGAATTAACATGACACAAACAATTATCCAGTATGGCCGTTTTATTAACTCTGGTCTTTAATCAAGGCGCAATATTAAAGATATAAAACACGGATACTGAACATTTGCAGTTTTTCAATATTTAATTAATTACACAAGTAGTAATTAGTCTAGTCTCTCTCTGGTCTATCTCTGGTCTCTCTGGTCTCTCTCTGGTTTCTCTCTGGTCCCTCTCTTTCTGGTCTCTCTCTGATCTCTCTCTCTGGTTTCTCTCTCTGGTTTCTCTCTCTGGTTTCTCTCTCTGGTCTCTCTGGTTTCTCTCTCTGATCTCTCTCTCTGGTCCCTCTCTTTCTGGTCTCTCTCTGATCTCTCTTTCTGGTTTCTCTCTCTGGTTTCTCTCTCTGGTTTCTCTCTCTGGTCTCTCTGGTTTCTCTCTCTGATCTCTCTCTCTGGTCCCTCTCTTTCTGGTCTCTCTCTGATCTCTCTTTCTGGTTTCTCTCTCTGGTTTCTCTGGTTTCTCTCTCTGGTCTCTCTGGTTTCTCTCTCTGGTCTGATATAAAAAAATTAACTGTCTTTAGATCTGCAAGACAAACTCCAAACCCAGTGGGAGATATCACGACCCACTTAAGTACCTGAAATGGGAGACTTCATTCATAACCTTATCCTTCATTTTTATAGTTGTAATATCACTTATAAAACTGACTTTATGCCTTTCTTCTGGTGCTCATAATGGTGGCACATGGGGCTCGGTGGGCGTGGACCTGAACCCAAAGTCTAAATTGAGTTAATGTATTTGGCTGCAAACTGCAAAAGGAGGCCCCCATGCAGTCTGGGATGGGAGTCTGTGCTTATCAATCACATTTTGGGAGGGGGGTCGTGTGTACATCAGGAGAATGGCAGCTTTGTATGTGACTCCTGGGTAATCCTGTTAAAGAGCCAACATGGCGGCGGGCATGGGGCAATTTCAATACGCATCAGCAGGGATCAGATAAGCGGGGTTTTGGATTCAATGCCGTATTCCATGTTGGTTTGGATATGTTTTGATTTAGGGATATTGTAATGCCACTGCTAATACTACGGCCCTAATTTCAATTCAATTCGAGTCTCTTTAATTACAAAATGTTAACAAAAGTCCACACACTTTACTAGTTCTTACGATTTGTAAATGATTTGTAAAAGGGAACTCCCAGGAAGCTAGTTTAACTTGTTTGTACCTTATAGATTTAGTTTTAGTTAAGTTTATTTATTCAAAGTGACAGGGACAGTGTACAATAAACATTCACCTCAAAGGGAAAGATTCATTGTAAATAGGAAGATAAAACTTTAAAGTAGCCTCTTTTAGCTCTCCCCCCCCCCCCCCCCCCAACCAAGAAATGGATTAAGGGGAAGAAAATGGAAGGATGGACTTTCAGCTCTCATACCTATTTTAACTTAAAACGACAAAAGACATGAATGAATAATATATTTGACTGAACTATGCAATAAGTTCCTCGCTTTCAAAACATTTATTTTCAATCGATTCAATGGATTGGAAAGAAAAAGGTACAGACTGCATGTTGTAAGCTGCGCACGGAGGTATCCCAGCTTTGATAGAAAAACTGTAAGGTTATAAAATTGGACACGCAACTGAAGTCTCTCCTTTTTTATTCCTGGTTGACCAGCAGAGGGGGCCCTTGTGCTTAAGGGCAGCCACTTCTCACAGTTGCAGACTTTAGCAGACTAGACCCCCGCTGGGAAATCCTGAAGGACAATATTTGATGTTGGGCTTAGAGTCTAACACTGATAATTCCCAAAAGCTCTACACACAAGACAGAAATCAGACCAGAGACTACTGCACACAGGCTGATTGTTAAAAAATACTTCACATCATTTTGAATTTAACATAAAAAGTACAGATTGGAGATTTTATTTAAACAATCAAAGAACAATTAAATAGAACATGAATAACTGTATTTGTGTAGTACTTCTTCACATAATCACATAAACAGGAGAACACACTAGGAAAGCTGTAAGAAAGTCATATTAAATAATACAATGGAGAACAAAAAAAGCATTGCAAATCTTTTGCCGTTCGTTTGTATCAATACAGTTCTTCTTATGTTGCTCCAAATGTTCCACAGTCTGGCATTGAACTTATCTTTTCACATCAGAGACCAGTGACGTCATTAGGCTGTGGAGAGGCGAAAATGAACACAACCCTGTCCGTTTTGTTGTCACATTTGTGTGTGTATGTGATTGTTTTTTGTTTGTTTTTTGCTGACTAATGCCCCAAATTTGTTTTAACTCAAGGTGTACCACTGGGATGAAGCCCAGGGGAAGACCCAGGACATACTCAGGAACATCTCTCAGCTGGCTTGGGAATGCCTCAGGATTCCCACAGGTGAGGTGGAGGAAGTGAGCATGAAGAGGGACGTCTGGGTGTCTCTGCTTAGACTGCTGACCCCATGACCCGGCAACCAATAAAGCGGAATAAAATGGATGGATGGAACTTAAAAAAATAAACAGAGAAAATTCACTGATCAAATTAACAAGAAAAACAATTATGTACTGAACAAGTTTAATGCTATATTGAGGTGAAGCAAGTGAAACTACATATCCCTGTTTTTTTTTCTCTTTTGATTAAACGTTATTTTTTATTATCATTATAATCATCATCATTATTAATGTCATTATTATTATTATCATCATTGTCATTATTATTATTATTATTCGTATACTAAACCTCGGATTCGTACGTCTCCATGGTAACAAGCGTGCGATGGGAAACGTTCGGAAAAGTTGCTCAGTACAAGTTTTAAATAATAATTTAGTAATATAATTTTTTCCCCGTTTATACAAAATGGGCTTGTATTATGGTCTGAATGTGCCATTATTTATCATTTATAATAATAATAGCAGAATAAAGTTCATCCTTCTGCTACGTCATCAGTGTGCGCCGTTGCTGTTGACAGCCTTCTTCTCCGGCGGTTCTGGAAGCTTTCACCGGCATCAGGCTGTGGAGAACCGAATCTGTGTCCATCCGTCTCCATTCCGGACCGCGTTCACCCATCCTCACGTTTAACATCCAGTCCACTAACCTTAACTGTTATTTCACGACACATAACTGAGGTAATAGTGCCGATGCAGTGAAGGGGATGGCTGTAACCAAAAGTCTCGAGTTCGGTGAGCAGAAACTGAGGAGGGGCGTACGTGGACGCGCGATTATAGCCTGCTCAAATCCGCTTCAGCAATAATATTACTGCAGCTAAAGGTTTGGTAATCATTCAATTAAAAGTGAGAAAAACATGTAGTCCCCGCTATGACTTAACACCTCATGCTAATGCTAATAGCTAATGCCAGACTATGGACCGCTAGGTTGCCCTCCATGGTTAACCCACGCACTGATTCCAATGTCTTTTTAATCATCAATTTAATCTCATTTTGCATCTGTTGTTTTATATGCTTCTATCATTCCTCTTTATGCTGTTAATAAGTCTTTGTTAGACACTAAAACCTGCAACTCAAGGGGAGTGGGTCTACCAAATATGGAGGGACGCACGCCTTGTGGTCCGAGCCTTCTGTCATCTACTAGTGTTTAAATGAAATTATTACGTGCCATTGTGTCCAGATTGATAATTATGCTTAACATCAGTTGTATTTGATGTGGCCGTAGAATGTTTTATTATGGAAACTACAAGGATGACAGTATAGATGTCAAATACAGGCAGGTTTATTTGTATAGCACAGTTCATACGCAGAAAAGATGGAGACAATAATTCGTGTTTAAAAAGAACTGCTTTAACATATATTAAAAAAAAAATTGTCCACTCACCTTTGGCCCTCCGCGGGCGGTTATCCCTCTCTAAGCTCGGGTCCTCTACCAGAGGCCTGGGAGCTTGAGGGTTCTGCGCAGTATCTTTGCTGTTCCTAGCACTGCACATTTCTGGACCGAGATGTCCGAGGTTGTTCCGGGGATCCGCTGTAACCACTCTTCTAGCTTCGGGGTCACTGCCCCGAGTGCACCGATCACCACGGGCACTACTGTCACCTTTACCCTCCAGGCCCTCTCCAGCTCCTCTCTGAGACCTTGGTATTTCTCAAGCTTTTCATGTTCTTTTTTCCGGATGTTACCATCGCTTGGAATTGCCACGTCCACCACCACGGCTGTCCTCTGCCCTTTGTCCACCACCACGATGTCAGGTTGGTTTGCCATTACCATTCGGTCGGTCTGTATCTGGAAGTCCCACAGGATCTTCGCACGCTCATTCTCCACCACCTTTGGAGGAGTTTCCCACTTAGACCTTGGGGTTTCCAGCCCATACTCTCCACAGATGTTTCTGTACACTATGCCAGCCACTTGGTTATGGCGTTCCATGTAGGCCTTCCCTGCCAGCATCTTGCACCCTGCAGTTATGTGTTGGATCGTCTCAGGTGCCTCTTTGCACAACCGACACCTTGGGTCTTGTCTGGTGTGGTATATCTGGGCCTCTATCGCTCTGGTGCTCAGTGCCTGTTCCTGTGCAGCCATGATGAGTGCCTCTGTGCTGTCCTGTAGCCAGCCCTTTCTAGCCATTGGTAGGACTTCTTGAGATCAGCCACTTCTGTTATGCTCCGGTGGTACATGCCGTGTAGGGGCTTGTTCTCCCATGATGGGCCTCCTCCAGCACCTCCTCATCTCGCCACTGCCTGAGACATTCACTGAGTACGTCATCCGTTTTGGCCTTCTCCATGATGTAGTTATGGAGTTGGGATGTTTCGTCCTGGACAGTGGCTCTCACACTCACTAGTCCTCGGCCTCCTTCTTTACGGCTTACGTACAGTCTCAGGGTGCTGGATTTGGGATGGAACCCGCCATGCATGGTAAGGAGCTTTCGAGTTTTAACATCCGTGGTCTGAATCTCTTCAATATCTCCTCCCAATATATATATATTATATAATTATATAATATTTTTTTTTTTTAAATCATTGTCAGAGGAAAAGCCTGTCTCACATAATCAGGAAGACCGTTCCAGATATATGATGCCTTCCCATGTTTAGTCCAGACTCTGGGCACCAGCAGGAGGCTAGTCCCTGTCCAAATTGGTTCATATGGCACTAAAATGTCTCCAATTTACTTCGGTACGAGGCCATGTAGAGACTGGTAACAAGCAGAGCTGCTTTTAAGTCTATTCTGAGCCACAGGAAGCCATAGCAGAGACCTGAGAACTGGACTAATGTGATGGTACTTCCTGGTTCTAGTCAAGACTCGAGTTGTAATGTTTTGAATGTCCTGCAGCTACTACAAATACAGCTGTCAATTGGTTTCAAATTCTAATTCAGCAGCAAAATAACAAAATATTATGGTGCCTGTGTTTATTTCGGAAACTTCACACTTGGAAAACACTTTATTTTCAGCTGTTGCCGATGCCATTCGTACAAGTTTGGGACCTAAAGGAATGGACAAAATGGTCAGTGCCTCAATCCAAACTGTAATGGTACCATGTTGTGCATCACTAAGTTCGTTCTTTGTCTTTGCAGATCCAGGATGAGAAAGGTGACGTCACAATCACCAATGATGGAGCAACTATTCTTAAACAGATGCAGGTTCTTCACCCTTCAGCTAAAATGGTAAATAAATATGCACCTTTTTTATGAATATTTTACGTAATTTCTATTATTGTTTACATCCTTTTTAACTATTGTATGTGTGTATGTATATATTTATTGGCAAAATGTAGGGTACTTTTTTTTTTCTTTGCGCATTCTCTGCCAGTGATGTGCAATGATTAGGCAACTTTTCAGAGGGAATAGTGCCCTCTAGTGGCTTGTCCTTAGAACTACTACTGTGAGCGTTTGTGTGATTAGTTTTTTTGTGTTCATTTCTCAGTTGGTAGAGCTGTCAAAGGCCCAGGACATTGAAGCCGGTGATGGTACGACTTCAGTGGTGGTGATCGCTGGAGCTCTGCTGGACGCCTGCTCCAAACTGCTGCAGAAAGGTCAGTGAGAACTGGAAAAGCAATTTTAAAGAATGTTTGGACCATTGGATTCTAAGTTCTTATATTATTTTGTTGAAACTATTGTATTTGAATGCAGAACCTCAATGCTGTATTAACGATTTGAATCCACGCTGATCCAAATATACCAAGCGTTTTATTTTTTGGAAACTTCGCAACAGCCTTTTTACATGAAATCTTACTTGGTAACAGAAGCCAAATCATGCTCTTTTAATACATAGAGACAAAGCAATTAATGACCTGTGAGGCCTGGATGAGAGTCTAAACAACTCTGCACGTATGGATTCGTTTGAAACTGCAATAATTTTGATAAAATGTTTTTGCTGCATGTAGTCCTGATAGTTGGTGTGAATTACTCTTAATAATAATATTGCTTATGATCAAATTACATTTGTGAGTTATCTCTCTCTTTGAAAACTTAACATTTATCCAAAACAAAACCTTTTTTTTTTTTTATGAATAAAAAATCAGTATAGGTTTGCAACACAATGCTGCAAATCTATGACAAGATCAATCCAAATAGTTGCAGCCTTGTCTTGAATCCGTTAACTCTATTCTGTCCAACCCTGTATATTTAAGTAGTTCCAGGTAATTAAAATACAATGTTTTTCTTCTGGACAGGAATCCACCCGACCATCATCTCGGAGTCGTTCCAAAAGGCTGTGGACAAAGGCGTGGAGGTTCTGAACGGCATGAGTCGCCCTGTGGAACTGAGCGACCGCGAAACGTTACTTAACAGCGCCACCACGTCGCTGTGTTCAAAGGTGGTATCGCAGTACTCCAGTCTGCTCGCTCCCATGAGCGTGGACGCTGTCATGAGAGTCATCGACCCCAAAACGGCCACTGGAGTCGACCTGCAGGACATCAAGATCGTCAGGAAGCTCGGGTCAGTGAAGCGGCGAACGGGATGTGTCTCTGATAGTTCATTATACTGTGATCTGGAGTGAGTTCACCGTGGAACTGCAAGAGTCTGAATCACTACGAAGGTTTTAGACTTAAATTACGTACACTATAGACATGGATAAAAACTGGCTACCATATAAACATTTTAATATGTCAAAGCAAGGAGCAAAAAAGATGTTTAAAGTGCTAGATCAAAGTCCCACCCACTAGAGGTCTGCTCTGGTTTTGGACATGTATTATCTCATTGTTTATAGGAAGCATTCAAAGAAAATCACTTCCTGCACTCAATTGTGTGGTTTTTGGGCCAGATGACTAAATGGCAAATTCAAATAAAACATATTTTATAACACCTTGGCTTTACTAACCACTAGATACTGATTTTGAATTTAGTTTTTATTCACCACACAGATCGGCCCAGACCAAGCTTCGCAGTCTTACATAAAGCCATAGAGAAGGGGTAACGGAAATTCCACCTTTTTTAAGTACCAACTTTTTTTTTTTTTTTTGTGTATACACCTCAAACATTTAAATACATACATTTTACAAATATATGAAAATATCTGCTTCTTTCTTTCCTCTCTTAGCTCTTTTTCCTCTTTAGGTTCCTTCCCTAAGCACAGCTACCCTTGAGTCAAAATGACCCACCAGTTGTTTCAGAAAAATACCCAAAATGGGGTCTAAAAAGGAGCTAAATGACCCAGGGCAGGTCAATTTGGGAATTTTTTAATTATTGCGGTGTGTCAATTAAAAAAGGGTTACTTACTTCCCCTAATGTTTGATCCAATCCTTGGTGATTGCAGTTTTAAAACAATAATTTATGTTTTTCAGTGGGACCATTGACGACTGTGAGATGGTGGAGGGTTTGGTGCTGACCCAGAGAGTGTCCAACACCGGAGTGACCCGAGTGGAAAAGGCAAAGATCGGCCTCATTCAGTTCTGCCTTTCTCCTCCAAAAACAGACGTAAGTGATCCATGTTTTAAAACTGCAAAATAAAAAACATAGAATGTTCTAAGCTTTAAAATGAGGTATGACTTGTCCACTCTAGAGGTAATTTCTCACCAGCCTGTGTTTAATGTAAAATGTATCGTGTTTTTAATGTGATCCCATTGAAATTATGCGTTAATCTTTAAATCTGACTCTTTAATAGAAGTTTTTGAAATGTTAATATTTTGCTTTCTTTGCAGATGGACAACCAGATCGTGGTGTCTGATTACGCGCAGATGGACCGAGTGCTGCGGGAGGAGAGGGCCTACATCCTGAACCTCATCAAACAGATCAAGAAAGCCGGATGCAACGTCCTCCTCATCCAGAAGTCCATCCTCAGGTAGTTTCATAGGATTAACAAACTCTCTGCATGGTTTTACTATGAAAACAACGGTCAATGTGGATCTCATTTAGTTCTCTCTCTGAATATTCTCAAACTACAAAACAATGTGAGGTTCGGTTTTGCTCAAAGAAATTAAATGATAAAACCTGATTTTCTATGTATATAACTCTAATCAGTACATGTGTATGTTAAGCCTTAGCTTTGACTTGGTCTAGGACAAATCACTCCACAGGAAAAAATGATTTGAACATGACGGCTCACAAAAACAATAGAATAACAAATGAAAGGTTTAAGGAGATTCATAATGGAGCAGCCAACAAAATCTGCCAATACAGACTTTTATATGTGTTACTAATTAGTAACAGTAATTAGATTGGTTTATTTGAAAGGGGACAGTGCAATTTCATGTAACACATGAACAAACATGGTTAAAAAAGCCAGAATTAGCCAGAAGGCTATTTTTCATCTGTAGTCCAATGATTACTGCAACCTAATGGTTGCAGTAATCATTCTTTTCTGGTATGGAAGCACTTGAATAGAGTCAAATTTCTACAATGTAGTTAAATGTTCATTGTCAATTATTGAAAGAATGTTTGCTTTTGTACTTATAGAGTTAATTCCGTCAAAGATAACTTTAACCACAAATGTTCCCTTTCAAGCGGTGAGATGGAGGCTCTCACAAGGTCGTACAGTTGCCATTCTGAAAGTTGTGCTTGACTAAAACAGACGATCACGAAACAGCCTTACAGCTCTTACTTACAACTTGTTCCTTGTTCAGAGACGCCCTGAGTGACCTCGCGCTGCACTTCCTCAACAAGATGAAGATCATGGTGGTGAAGGAGATCGAGAGGGAGGAAATCGAGTTCATCTGCAAGGTAACTTTATATCTCCACACCCTCAGATCTGTCGTCTACATGATAATCTGTCGCCGGGCTGCCAATAACATGTGTTTTCCTGCAGACGATCGGCACCAAACCCGTCGCTCACATCGACCACTTCACCGCAGAGATGCTGGGAGCGGCTGAACTGGTGGAAGAGGTGAATCTGGATGGATCTGGGAAACTCGTCAAGGTAATTTACACTGTCTGTTGCTCTCTCCAGAAACACATGTGAGTCAGTGCACGGGAAAGGTATTCTGTTCTCTTCCATTACTGTCAATTTCAGTCCTTTATCAGAAAATGGGAGAGTCCATATTGTCACAAGCCACACTGGAGGAAGGAAGGGAGGCAAAGGGCAGACTACGGTTGGGGTAGAGGGAGACGAATTGCCTCAGCTAGGCCAAGTTCATGAGTTGTAGAGCCTTTGTGACACGGCCAAGCTATGACCCGTTGAATGGAGAGCGGAAGGAAATCCCGAAGGTCATTAACTCATTGACTGCCAGCTGTTTTTTGGTGCTATGTGAAATATGAAACCAGATTCTGAAAGATTGGACTCTCTACTTTCATCAGCAAAAATCTTTTTGTTTCTAGCTAGTTTTGTTCTCCTTTTATCCCCAGTTGAATACAGAGAAGTTTGAAAGACATCACCAGTCTCAGCCAAATACGTCAATGAGTTTAGATAATTATAAGTTGGGACAGATCTCACACAGAAGAAATTTACTGTCACATTTGGCATGGATAGAATCACTCAAGATTTGTGCAAAAAAGAAGTGTGCAAACATGTTAAAAGCAGGATATATTATGTACAGTAAAATTAATATGTAAAGGATGTGCTGTCGATGTTTGCCTGAGTCTGACTGAATTTGGGTTGGTGCAGTAAATGTGCACACACTCTACTGACTTTATTTTATTTTTTGTATAGCTTGATAAGCGGGTCATTTTACATTCCTGGGTTCGATTCCAGCTCCAGGCCTGTCTGTGTGGAGTTTGTATGTTCTCCCTGTTTATGCGTAGTTAAAAACATGTGCAATAGTTCTCCATAACGCCCTCTCCGACCCCAGTCTGGCTGCCTCTCTCTGGGGCGAGAACTCTCCTGAAAAACACAGGAAATGCATAGGAGCCATTGGTCCATAGAGAGCGAAATGACCACTGTCAGAAATGTGAATGTCCCGAGACCCTCCTGCGTTGGGTGTGAGTTATTAGAAAAGGGAAGAGTTGGCTTTGGGCAGGACAAAATGCAGAGATTTTTGGAGTCTAGTGGGATTTGGTGGATACTGGGAACATAATGACCTGCACTCGCTGTAGAGACTTCTGATCATCTCATTTCTTAGAGAATATTTTATTTTCTCCTGCTATATTGTAAAAAAAAAAAAGCTTGTTCTCTGACAAAGGCGCTCCAGCGGCTGAACTCCCGCTGGGGCGTAACGAGCAGAGAAACAGAAACTGAGCAGTCCTCGGTGTTTACGCCCTGTTGCCGCAGTAACGGGGCTGAAGGGCTTTCTTACATGTTTTTAATGTTATCACAGGACCAGAGCAGAGTGTGACTATTGTTGTGCTGTATGTTATTGGAACTAATCGTTGTGAAATTAATACTTTTTGACCCAGTTCTAGTTGCCTTAAAATGGATCACTATTTCAAAAGTGTTGGGATACGTTTTGGGATTTTCTGTGAGAATAGTCTCCTTGTCCGCTCATACTAGAATAGAAATGTCTTAACAGCATTAAAATGTATTAGATTTTTGGTCAAGACAACGTTATCCTGTTAAGTGGTTTCTCCCCATGCAGGCAAAATCAAACTGACTTGATAATTAGATTTATAGTTCCAAGCTATCCACTGGCAGGTTTCTGTTTTGTGCTAAATAGATATATATTTTCATGACATCACAGATTAGTTAACTTGACCCTGATTCTATGTCTGTGGTGTCTGGAAATGGAGTCAAGAATCTTAACTTTGTACATTTTAAACTCAACCAAACGTGTAATCTTCGCACATGTGTCTGCTCCTATATCACAAGTCGTCTTTGTGGCTTGGTAACGGTTGTGTCTGTGGTTATTCATCTAAACGTATTTCCAGATCACCGGCTGCACAAACCCGGGAAAAACCGTGAGCATCGTGGTCCGGGGGTCCAACAAACTGGTGCTCGAGGAGGCGGAGCGCTCCATCCACGACGCCCTGTGTGTGATCCGCTGCCTGGTCAAGAAGAGGTGGGCAGCATTTCACTTCACAAAATAAATACTTCACTAGTTTGATCGTTCCACTGATAATGAGGCTCAAGATCAAAGGGGCTCCATACTATAGAATTTTTAAGATTGTAAAATTCTGTTGTACTTGTGTATTGGAGCTGCACGGACAGTTTATTCAAACCTTGGTTTTTTTAAGTCTAATTATATCAAATCCCCTTTTTCTTTGACATACTGTGGTTTTAACAATATACTCATGACTTAGGAGGAGAATAAAAAGGCTTAACTGGTCACTACATTTCCACACATGGACTTTAGCTTTATGTACATTTTGAACGTTTTTCTTTTTGTCAGTGGTGAACTAAAATCCTCTATTTGGTCTCACACACAAAAAATAAGCAACTTCAACCAGTTGCTTATTTTCAAACTTCTAAAAGAGTTTTCCTAATTTTTTGTTTATTATTTTTTTTCTCATCCTATTGATTTATGTGTTGGAATTGTGAGTTTTGTTGTTGCATTGTTCGATATGTGAAAGATTCTACTCTGACAAAGGCGCTCCAGCGGCTGAACTCCCGCTGGGGCGTAACGAGCAGAGAAACAGAAACTGAGCAGTCCTCGGTGTTTACGCCCTGTTGCCGCAGTAACGGGGCTGAAGGGCTTTCTTACATGTTAGAATGTTTTTGTTAAAATACAGTATCGGGAGTTATTAGACTCAAGCACAGTGTGACAAGCTCATACTGCTCTTTGATGTTGTGTATTGGCATGAATCACTATTTTAAGCACAGACAAGTGTTTCTGCAGATAAAAGCCTAATGTTTAAATCCCCAAATATGTTTTAAAATCCATCTAACTCGTTCCTTGCTCTGTAAAACTTAACACTTTTCATTATTATTTTCAAGATAGATTTTATACTTGTTATTGATGCCAGAGTTAGTTTAGCTGCTGTTCACTTGTCTTGTGCTGTGTGCTCCTCTTCCCTGCTGCTCTTTGTGATGCAACACTGAAATTTCCTCACTGTGGGAAGAATAAAAGATCTCTTAATCTAAATCCTAATCTCTCAAAACGGTTTGGTTCAATCACTAGTTTTCACTTGTAGTGTGCCCTCTGTCCAATCTTTAAATCAGGTTTTTCCAGGCAGAAAAATGAAAAAGAGAGGACCCACGTCACTCGGGCCACGAATCATCAAATATCAATCAACTTATTTGTAAAGCCTATATCACACCAAGCCTAAATCATGAACATTAAAATCTACATACAAAAAATAAAATAAAAATAATAACTGGCCACAGTGTTTTAAAAAGAGTAAAGATAAACATCTTTCAGTTGTAGTGATCTTGAGCTTTACAAGATGCAAATGTCAATCAAAAAATGGCTTTCAATAATTTGTCAAGTCAATTAGCCAAAGAAATTAGACTAAAACATGTGGAAAACAAGACTAAAATGTACTTAATTGTAAATCTCTGACATCTTCCTCTTTTCTCCGGTCTCCGCAGGGCGCTGATTGCCGGCGGTGGAGCTCCTGAGATCGAGCTGGCGGTGCGACTGGCTGAATACTCCCGCACCATGGGGGGTATGGAGGCCTACTGCGTCCGGGCCTACGCTGACGCCCTGGAGGTCATCCCGTCCACTCTGGCCGAAAACGCCGGGCTCAACCCCATCGCCACGGTGACGGAGCTGCGCAACCGACACGCCCAGGGAGACAAGATGGCGGGGATCAACGTCCGCAAGGTTGGTGATTGGATTACTTGGTTATCGCGAAAAGGCCAGAGAAATATGGGGTTTATCATTGAGCAAGACAAAACTAAAGGTTACAATTTACGTGCATTAGTTGGGCAGCTATTGTAACTTTCAAACTACGACAAGTAAAACAAAATGAAATGCAATTCAGTTCCTCGCTCTCAAAACAGTTTGGTTCCATTGCTAGTTTCCACATATCTACCTCTGTCACGTCCTTAAATCAGCTTTTTCATTCAGAAAAGTGCAACGCCCTCATATATAGTGACTCAATGCAAAACAAAATATTATGAGATAAAGACCAGATGTGTCTCTGTTAGAACGAACAATACCTCTTTGTGAAACTAAAAGCGTTTGGTATCCCACCTTCTAACTGAACACACTGGATTCAGTAGTTTTAACTTAAATGGCTCAAATTGGCATGTGCCGGTCATTATAAATTACTACTTTTCATTTTGTCATGGCTGCTGATGGTGTTTAAACCAAAGCAGAAGGGAGGCAGCCGATATGAAAAGAAAAACCAATGAAAACTATGCCTATCGATCTCATCCAGAGAACATATTAAACGCCAACATGCAGGTCACCGTGGCGATACCTTTTTAGGGTTTAATCAGGATCTACAAATGGAGTAATCTGAGAAAGTAGAATGAAAAGAGTTTGTGTTTGAAAGGGGTGAACGGTTTGTCTATCCATCCTACAGTATGTTCAAAGTCTTGTCTGGATGTAAATAAAATCCAATGTTTATTTCCAGGGAGGAATCTCTAACATCATGGAGGAGCTCGTGGTTCAGCCTCTGCTCGTTTCCATCTGCGCTCTGACTCTGGCCACAGAAACCGTCCGCAGTATCCTCAAGATCGATGACGTGGTAAGGCTTCACTTTTACTCCACTGTTTTTGAAAACGCATACATTTCCTAACGTATACATGCAAAGCTTAACTGTGTTGTTTTTGTGTCACAGGTGAACGCTCGATAAACTCCTGAGTCCTGCAGCGACCAGAAGATCGACCTGTGTCTGTTCAGATTTATCTGTTGTTACATTCAGTAATTTAATAAAAGGCTGTTTTTGTTGACACTCCAGCTGGTGCCCGTGTGCTCAATAAGAATCATACATCAGAGAAGTCCATGAGGTCTCCACGTTTAATAAATCTGTCATATTCTTGTAGAGTAAAACGTACGTAAATAGTAGTTTGAAGTGGTAGTACTGACCAGGATCTTGAATGTAGAGCTTTTAATGATACAAAATGGAGATTGTTTTTAAGATTATTAAAGCATTGTACCGTAAATAACAACTTGACAAGAGGTGCACACCCGTTCTTGCAAAGGAAATCTGCTCGGTGTCCAGAAGTGAAAATCCCAGTATGAGTTGAAAATGCAACGGGGGGTGTTGTCAAAAAATGATCCCAGTCTGGGCCAGTCCAGTTTTGTGTCTCAGGCCCTCTCTCCGATAAGAGAGACACGCTGTTCCTGAAAATGATACTTTTATCACAGAAGCCTTGTCCTTGGTGCTTGTCTGAATTCCACTAAATCCAGGCTTTGATATTGCACAAAGACATGTTTGCAAACACCTCCTGGAAATCATTAGTATACAACATAATTCTACAACAGGGGCCATGTGGTAACCGTTCAGTCGTTGGAGCCAAAATAAACACTTAAAATGCAAAAATGTGCTTATTTTTTACAAACCTACAATATTCATATGAACCCAGAGCTATTGATATGTGTCTGTCTTGTGTGTACTTTCAATGTACCAGCTTGTGAGTTAAAGACAAGTTCTTGCTCTGACTCTAAGGGATCTCTTAATCGTAATGTAGATATTTATCGGTCGGGTCATTAGCAGCCGTGACCTGAACGATTTCAATTTGTGTATAATGGCATGCAGAAAGTTTATATTTGTAAGCTTGAGGTTATTGGGTTTATTTAAAACAAAATCCTTTTCATTTTAGTATATCTTTACTTTTTCACTGTAGAATAAAAACAATGAAATCAGACGTACGTTATTTTTATCTTCACACTTCCTGTCTTGCTACGTCACTTCCTCCCAAGCTACCCCCGTTGCTAAGTAACGCACCGGCTTCAAACGGCCGCTGATCCCTCGGGCTGAAACTTCGCGAATCGCAACAAAAACAGCATTAAAACTGTTCAGATCTGCGTGTGAACCAGTGTGAACATGACCAACGCGCACCGCACCAATGTTTTAGTCACGTCCTGTCTGAAAAACCCCGTGGACCCGCGAACCAAGACCCCCCTGGCTTCCTACGAGCGGGAGAGAGGCCAGACCGGGGTCCAGCACCGAGCCGCCTGGAGGGACCACGAACCAGAGGTGACTGGAACTAATGCTAACACCTGATGCTAAAGCTAGCTCCACCAAAGCACGTGTTGCAGTACTGTGTATGAAGGAAATAAATACATGGAGAAAGACAATGAGGATTTATTTTGTGATTAAATAGTTTTACAATATCTATATTTTTATCTTATCCTAAATAAATTGTCACCATTTTATTTTTTTTAAATAATGGTTCAAAACGCATACAGTAATATTCTATCTCATCATTGTAGTGGTGATTAATGGCATTTAATAATTTGGCCATTTATTATTATGACAGTTTTTGCCCTCCATACCTGTGTTTGCTTGAAATAAACACATAAATAAAACTATACATTATTAGTTTTAGTCTAAGAATTAATTAGTTGGCCGATTATTCTTCCAATTCATGGATTAGTTGCTTAGATATCGAAAAGACAGTAAATATACGACAATAAAAAAAAAAAAAAAAATTAAGTTATGCCTATAGAAGACTTGTATAGATGACTTATTATACATTCTGAGTAAAGTTTACTTTGATTAAAAATATGTTACAAACACATTTCAATATCATTCTGCAGTTGTTATAGTATCTGAGTCACAAAACTGTTGGTTTTAATAGCGATTGAGTACAAACCTCAAGTAAACTAATTTGTTCCAGTTTACTTTAGTAAATCAGTTACATTATGAAGTTTATTCCATTTCAGCATCTGCTTCTCTCTCCTGTCACTCTCGTATCCTCTTTCTCTCCTTCATCTCCTCTCTCTCATCTCTCTCCTCTCCTCTTTCCCCTCCTCTCTCCTCTCTCTCATCTCCTCTTCTCTTTCTCCTCTCCTCACTCCACTCAATCCTCTCTCTCTCATCTTCTCTCCTCTCTCTCTCATTTTCTCTCCTCTCTTTACTCACTCATTTCTCTCCTTCCTCTCTCCACTCCTCTCTCTCTCTCCTCTCTCCCTCCTCTCCACTCCTCTCTCCACTCACTCCTCTTTCTCTCCACTCTCTCCTCTCTCTCTCTCCACTCACTCCTCTCTCTCCTCTCACTCCTCTCTCTCTCTCCTCTCTCATGCCTCACTCCTCGCTCTCCATTAGGCTATCATTAATTGAACTTGATGGACTAATTTATTCACTTTAGCAGATCCATGCTATATATTTTAGACATTTAATCCAAGTTGAAATATTATCCAAATTCACTTGTTAAAAGAGGAAACTGCTCCTGTCTCTGTCTCCATCTCTTGTACTTTTCTGATCCGTATACTCTGATCCCACGTCCCCATTGGCGCGGTGACACTTCCAGGTCAGTGTGCTGCTGCCAGTCAGGATTTAACCTGTTTTATTTACCGTCAGACCGTTCGAGGACGTCTGTGTGTGGGAGATTACAGACGTCACTCTCGGTTTATAATCCCACAGGCTAATTCAAAGTCTCGACCGCAGGAGACAATGTGTTTCAGGTAAAATCAGCATGAGCCATTGACAGCCGTGCTTTTGGATGAGCTTTGGAAGGCGTGCCACAGTGTTCAGAATTATGATGAATAATTTATTAACCTTGTAGAGAAAGCAAAGCAACAAAAACATGGTTTGTTATTGTTATGTATTTTATATCTACTTGCTCCTGCCAGGGGATTATCGATGGAGTGCTAATTTAATCTAGCATATGTTGTATGTGCATTGTCCCTTAAATAAATACATCTAAAATATTACATTTAAGGGTGAAGATACAGTCATTCAGTTCTATGCACATCAAAACAGATTTTTTTAAATTCTGGATGTGAATATTGTCAGAGTTGTAGCCTGTCTCACATTTCGAGGAAGACTATTACAGATTTTAGTTGCATGAATCTGAAATGCTGCTTCCCCATGTTTAGTCCTGACTCTGGACACCAGCAGGAGGCCAGTCCCTGTGCTCCTCAGAGTCCCAGCAGGAGGCCAGTCCCTGTGCTCCTCAGAGTCCCAGCAGGAGGCCAGTCCCTGTGCTCCTCAGAGTCCCAACAGGAGGCCAGTCCCTGTGCTCCTCAGAGTCCCAGCAGGAGGCCAGTCCCTGTGCTCCTCAGAGTCCCAACAGGAGACCAGTCCCTGTGCTCCTCAGAGTCCAAAGAAAGGCCTGAGCTGACACAGAATCAAAGCCGTGAGCCTCCTGCTGTGAGGCCTGAGTGCTGCCGACTCTTGATTTTTGAAACTTGAGGAAAGACAAAGACGTCACCTGTGGATCTGTGGTGTGTGTGACACCTGTTTGGGGGAGGGCACAGCCGCGGGGGGCACAGACGCCGACTGTAATCTGCCCTTTGTGCTGCTCTCCATCTGTCCTCAAACCCGTAATAAGCTTAAACCTGAGCACAGGCAGCAACAACTTCTGCAACACCACAACACGCCAGGTTCACCGGGAAAAAGGCAACTTCGAAAAGAGTTTGACAACGTTATTTTTTCATCTCCTCCTTCACCTCCTCCTTCATTCATTTGGAGTAAACTGTATTCATTAATTAAGTTTACTGGCATATAGTCATGATTTAATTTAATTTCATTATTGCTGATACAAAGCCCTACCCACTTTGCCGTCCGCTTTGGTAAAAATTAGTTAAAAAAACAAAAAGAATATGATAAGGTTTTTTTTTTTCAGAATCTCTAAAAAAACAGGAAACGTATTTAGATTCAGATTTTCTAAGATTTTTGAACCCCTATTTTTTGAATGATTATTATAGGCCTTTTTATGCAGTTAGATGGTAAAAGTGCCTTAAACCAAGTGCTAGAGATGCCCCAATGAGGTAGACTTCAGTTCCAAGCTTCAAGTAGATATCGAGACTCATAAAGTGATCCACCAAATGGTTAAGAAAACCATTAAAGGGTTAAACCAAATCTCCAGTAACATTAGATGTATTTCTGCAGTGTTATGTAGTATCCTGAAAGTTTTTACACATAACGTCTTTTGTTCCCAGTTGGAGTTCGAAGACTGTGGCTCGGACTTCTTCGACGAGGATTACCTGACGAGCCGCGGTCCCGTGGTGAACCTCACGGCGTCAGGAGACCGCATCGACCTCAGCAAAATCTTCTTCTCCAACGAGGAGTACTACACCAAACTGGAGGAGCTGAAGAAGGCCCATCTCCGCACCATGGCCGAGCTGGAGAGCATGTACCGCCGCAAGCTCCAGCTCAAGTCCACAGAGGCTGACGGAGAGGCCGCCGAGGCTGCACAGCGGTGAGGTCCTCGGGGTTCCAGTTTGCATGTTCTCCCCGTGTTCAATTCAATTCAATTTGGTTTTGTATAGCTCTGAATCACGACAGCAATCTTCTCGGGGCACTTTCGGCTTATTGTCCAGGGGAGAGGAGAGAGAGGAGAGACAGAACAGGAGAAAGAGAGAGGAGAGGACAAGGTAGAAAAGAGAGTAGAAGAAAGAGAGGAGAAGATCGATAGAGAGGAGAGAGAAAGGGGAGAGGAGAAGACAGATAGAGAGGAGAAAGAGGAGAGAGAAGATAAGAGAGGAGAGAAAAAGGGGAGAGGGGAGAGGATAGACAGAAGAGGAGAGAAGATTGAGAGGAGAGAGATAGAGAGATAGCCAAGTCTTTATAATATGACAAAAATGCATTCAAAGTAGTTCCATTGATCCATCCATACTTCCTTAGTTCCATAGTTCCATAGTCCTGGGTACATTCTTGGTTCAGTCTCAGAGTGTTGCTTGTGCAGGATCCACTGGTCCTGCTGCAGTCCTCCAGGCTCTCACCGCTTGAGGAAGTCCCTGTCGGCGGTGGAGCTGCGGGGCGCTCTCTCCGACTCGTCAGACGAAGAGGGAGACACAGGTTTGAGTCACGCAGTCTCCAGTCTCCAGTTTTCTCCAAAAGATCACATCAGAAACATGTGGCTGGATTTCCAACTGGCTCCTCCATCGCGCCGCCTCTCGTCCTCTTCCCTACGCAGCCTCGACAACAACAACCTGAAGAGGACGCCGCGAAAGAAGAGGTCTGGAAAGGTACAACTGAAAAAAATACTCTCTCCCTCACCCATACAGGTACGGGTTAGTTAGTTTATCCTGCTTCCTGATTGGACGAAATGAATTGAACACCTTGATGGACCTGAAATATGAGGGTTTTGCTAACGGTAGGGCCTATGTTAAATATAGTCTAGTCCACGGACCAGATTATACAAGATATACTTCTTTTTGAATAAAATACATCATCATTGTGACTTGTAACTTTCTGGAAGTGGCAATCCTGTGAAAGATTTAGTGAAAACCATTCTTGGGAAAAGGTTTTGTGCCATAATGTGAAGAAGCCAAAGGGGAAAAAAGCATCTGATTTATCGTCTGGGATCAATCAGAATCAGAATGTCCAATTTCAGAGAACAGGAAGTTTAGTTTATTGTTGCCACATACACATTACATGCAGTGATTTTCTTATGAACCTCCAGCAGATGTTCAGCACAGTATTCAGGACACACAACAAAATTATGCCTGGTTTAGCAACATTTTCACTACACAGTGTCATGTGACGTCATTCAGTGACGGTAATCGAGTGTAAAGTTATAAAAGAATGTGGGGGTTTCAAGCCCGATCATCTGTTGTTCTGTGCGATTAAAAACAACCAAAATACAAGAATTATTGAAGTGGACTTTACTTGAAAGTAACATACTACAACTGCATCACCAGAAACACACTAGTGGCTAAAACGAACCTGCTTCATTGATATTTACATATTCTTTAAATTACAGCAATATGTAAGATTTTCATGTCAAGTCATCATTAAAGGGCCCTAATCTGTCAAAGGCATTAACAAACCCTGCTCTTTCAAATACTTCTTTAACTGATAACATTATCTCTTTATTCAGTTATTATGGTCTCACCTGGATTCGTCTGCATATCTGGCAACCTGAGTCAGGGAGAGTGGGAGAGGTTGCAGTACCACTTTTGGCCAGATTTTTACACATTGCTCCTTTTAATAAGCAAATCAATAAAAGGTTAATAATAACAGTTAATAATGAATGTTATGTCACTCTTTATTCAAGTGATTTTTATGTGTTTAGGTCCAGGAGAAGTGGAGACACCGCGTGACCGTGCCCGAGCCGTTCCACATGATGCTGCGCGAGGACGACCGGCGGAAGAGGGGGATAAAGACCCGCTCTGAGATGGAGCACGAGAACGCCGAGCTGAGGCGGCAGCTGGAGGAGCTCACCGAGTGCCAGAGGAAGTTCAGGGCCAGCCCCGTCCCGGCGCACGTCCACCTGCCGCTGTTCGAGGAGCTGCAGGAGAAGAACCAAGAGAGACGGAAGAGAAACACACCCCACCAACACCACCTCAAACACATCATCCAGAAACCATTCAGCTTCCTGGAAAGAGAGAGACTGAAGAAGGAGCAGAGGGAGAGAGAGCAGAAGGCAGCATCGACCACGGATCAGGACAAGCTCAGGCCGTTCAAAGCCAAACCGGTGCCGAAGTCTGTGTACGCGGCGGCGGCAGGAGACCAGGCGAAGGAGGAGCAGCTGTATCGCTCCATCAAGATCCACATGAGAGCCCAGGAGTTGTTATCCACCTCCTGCCCGCCTCCTTCTATGCTCGAGCGCAGACTCAGCCAACGCAAGAAGTCGCAGAACCAGGAGCCGGACTGCACGCACCAGCCGCAGATCAACAAAGAGGTGCCGGACTTCGACGCCAGCTACAGGCGCTTTAAAGTGAGTCTGGTTTTGCTTTGTTATGAGTGGGATTAGAAATGTCAAGGTCATAGCTACAGCTCTCACGTTATGCACACATCAAACAGGATTTATCATTATACATTCACCAGTTTATTTCAAATGTTATGCAAATTACTACAAACAATAAACCGAAATAAATTGTTTCAAAGAGAGGCTGTATAGGAAGCAGACACTTATTTGGCTCTAACCCCCAACACACACACACACACACACACACTCAACACAAGCACGACCACGCACAACACAAGCACAACACAACACACACAAAACACAAGCAACACAAGCATAACACACAAGCAACACACACAAGCATAACACACACACACACAACACACAAGCAACACACACAAAATACAAGCAACACACACACACAACACAAGCATAACACAATATAAGACAGAAAAAACAGTAATAATGTAATAATAGCAGCAGGTAAAGTGACTAGTGGATCATCAGAACAGAATTATCAGATGAATGGATTAGGCAATAATGTAGTAATAATAGCAGTTTCTAAGTGACTACTGGATTATCAGAACAGGTGATTTTGGCAGCTGCAGAAAAACTTATATAGAATTCAACCCATGATCCAAGATAATCCATTCAAGACTGTATATGAACCTTGACCGTGTCGTCTGACTGCTCACTTCCTGTTTCAGAAACACCTGGAGCGGCACAAAGAGGTGAAGCCGACCACGTCCTGCGAGCCCTTCGACCTGAAGACGTCCCAGATCTCCAGTCACCGGGAGCGGATCCTGGCGGAGCTGGAGCTAGAGCAGAGGAGTCCCCGGGCGCTGAGGTGGCCCTACAGCCCCGAGCCTCTGAGACACACCTCCACCTCCAGCCTCTGCTCCTCCCTGTCCTCCAGCACCGAGGCCCTGTCCCCCGGCAAGAGCACGAGCGCGGCCCGCAAGAGACAAGAGGCGGTCAGGTGTGTGTGTGTGTGTTTATGTGTGTTTGTTTATGTGTGTGTGACTGTAGGTCTGTTTATATGTGTTTGAGGTATACATTGTATATGTGTGTGTGTGTCTGTGTCTGTGTTTGTAGGTCTATGTATATGTGTTTGGGGTATACAATGTGTATGTGTATTATGTGACTGCGTGTGTGTGTGTGTGGGTGTGTGTGTGTGTGTGTATGTGACTGCGTGTATATGACTGATTAGTTCCACATTCAGAATAGTTTTGTCCTGGCCTTTTTCCCCATAACCCTGTGTCTCCCTCCCCCTCGCAGAGACAGTCCCTCCCCAGTCCTCCCCAGATCCATGGTCCTCCCGCACCACTCGTCCCCTGTCCCCTGGGCGTCCCGGCTCCACATGACGTGAGGGTTTGTGGTTGAGCAGAAAGGCGCTGGACGAGAGGAGGAAGGCCGACGCCGAGGAGGAGCAGTGGAGAGAGAAGCAGCGGCAGCGAGAGAAGCGGCTGCAGACGGTGGTGGTGAAGCGCGCTCAGGCCAACGACCCCCATCTCTCCCTGTCCCAGACCCAGCCCAGCAAGCTCCAGGAGTTCAGGTACCAGGAAGTAGAAAGATTGATAGGTAGGTAGGTAGTTAGCTAGGTAGGTAGATAGGTAGGTTGGTAGATAGATAGGTAGGTCGGTAGGTAGGTAGGTAACTAGATAGATTGGTAGATAGGTCGGTAGGTAGGTAGGTGGTTAGGTAAGCAGATAGGTAGGTTGGTAGGTGATGGGTGATAGATAGGTATATAGGTAGGTAGGTAGGTAGGTACTCGTTAGGTAGACAGGTTGTTCAGTAGGTAGGTAGGTAGATACTTTATTGATCCCCCATTGGAGACATTCAGGTGTCCAGTAGTAGCAAAAACACATCCACCAACGCAAATAAAACAAATAAATTGATCATGCTAAAAATCTAACAATAGTAATAAAAAGAAACAGCACTTGCAGTACCATCACTGACCATGGACTGTAGATGAGGAGGTCTCGGTCATGAGGAGACCGACCCAGAGCTCACGTCCACATAGTATTAGCCTTACTGCAGAAGAGGCTGATGTGAACATAAGCTAGCTAGTGCCAATTTCCTTATAAGGGTCTTTCTTCCAGACAAAACATTTAAAGTAGCTAGTACTGCTTAATTATCTGGGTACGGTCCCGGGTTTGAATCAGAGCAGGGCCGTTCTGTATGGAGTTTGCATGTGCTCCCTGTGTCTGCATAGGTTTCCTCCGGGTGCTACGGTTTCCCCTACCTCTAAAAACACGTACATGTCCTGACCATGCCGGGTGTTTCTTCCGCGGTGTAAGTGGGGCACATGTGTTACTAAGACGGTTGCTACGGCAAGCTGGAGTTTTCCCTCATGTTTCCTTTTGATATTTGATGTTCTTCTTAAGTTTTTGCTGTTTATTTTTTTTATTTTGCGACATGGTATCTTTATCTGTAGCACTTTGAAGTTTCCTGGAAATGTAAGGTGCAATATGAATAAAAATAAACTATTCTTATTATGATCATTATCAATATTTTTCATAGAAGACGTTCACATTCTCTCATAGCAACTGACGAGCCAATCAGGGAGGAGGCTTGTCGCTCTAGCAAATTACAACAAATTACTGTTTATGGGTCCAATTTCAGATTCCCCCATTTCCTTTCCCCATTTAACAGACAGAATAATTAATGCATTACGTCAAAATTAACTCACAAATGTCCTTCTTTCCGTGTGCAGAAAAATGGACCTGCAGCGCAAAAAGGAATACCAGCAGGAAATCAAGGAGATGAGGCAGAGAGTGAAGGGACGACCACTTCTACTGGAGCAAGTGGCGACGGTAACACGCAGCAAGACTGGTTTATTAATGTTTACTAAAGCTGAGGTGCGTGATTTTCAAACTGCGACTGGAGGAAGCTGGTATTTCAGATCCCAGAGTGTCAGATTAACAACATACATGGCTCTTGTAAGTAGATTAGTACGTCATTTTTATTATTATAGAGCAGGTATGTCCAAACTAAGGTCCTCTGTGTCATCGTATGTGCTGTCTTGATAATAATAATAGTAATAATATCAAAAATTGTGTTTGCAGTATTTGCACAGTCAGAATAAGCAGTAAAAGTCAAAGTCAGTCAATATCAGTCAGATCCAAAAGAAATACAGTAGAACAAAGCAGATACAGTGCCTTGCGAAAGTTCGTATTGAACCTTTCAACATTTCGCCACATTTCAGGCTTCAAACATAAAGATATAAACATTTAATTTTTTGTCAAGAATCAACAACAAGTGGGACACAATCGTGAAGTGGAACAAAATGTATTGGATAATTTAAACTTTTTTAACTAATAAAAAAGTGGGGCGTGCAATATTATTCGGCCCCCTTGCGCTGCAGTTACAGCTGCAAGTCGCTTGGGGTATGTCTCTATCAGTTTTGCACATCGAGAGACTGGAATTCTTGCCCATTCTTCCTTGCAAAACAGCTCGAGCTCAGTGAGGTTGGATGGAGAGCGTTTGTGAACAGCAGTCTTCAGCTCTTTCCACAGATTCTCGATTGGATTCAGGTCTGGACTTTGACTTGGCCGTTCTAACACCTGGATACGTCTATTTGTGAACCATTCCATTGTAGCTTTGGCTTTATGTTTTGGATCATTGTCCTGTTGGAAGATAAATCTCCGTCCCAGTCTCAGGTCTTTTGCAGACTCCAACAGGTTTTCTTCCAGAATGGTCCTGTATTTGGCTCTATCCATCTTCCTATCAATTTTAGCCATCTTCCCTGTCCCTGCTGAAGAAAAGCAGGCCCAAAGCATGATGCTACCACCACCATGTTTGACAGTGGGGATGGTGTGTTCAGGGTGATGAGCTGTGTTGCTTTTACGCCAAACATATCGTTTTGCATTGTGGCCAAAAAGTTCGATTTTGGTTTCATCTGACCAGAGCACCTTCTTCCACATGTTCTGTGTGGGTTTCCTCCGGGTGCTGGGTGGTGCTGCACTGGGCGACCACTTCCCCCGACAGTGGCATTGCAGGATGGGTCAAATGCAGAAGATAAATTACCCTATGGCGTGTTATTGACGCAAAACTAACACATTAGTATAAGGCTCACTCCACACCAAACTGTATCAAAGTTGAAGATTTTAGATTTGCGTTTTTATTTATTTATTTTATTTTAGCATAGAGTTATTATTCATTTAGTGTGCTCTGTGCTCCTCATTACCGTTTTCCCGGCTGTGTTTTTGCAGAGAAACGCCAAACAGGCGGCGGAGAAGCGCTTCACCGAGGCTCTGCTGGGCTGTGATGTCACTCAGGATTTCATCGCCAAAAACGCAGCCAAATCCTCCTCCGCTCGAAAGGTCTCGTCCAGCGACAGCAAACTCAGGTACAGCTGCTCCACCACCAACAAGATGTCTGAATCTCTCCATCTGCGTATTACTCAATGTTCCCTCAACTATGGTAGAAATAGTTTCAGGTCATACTCTATACTGTGAACAGATCTAGTGTACTGAGAAATATAAGTCAATACACACAAGACGTAGAGATATATCTTTATTTGTTTATATTCAAATTTAATAATGTGGATTAGTGGCTCACAGCTTGAAAAACGAACAACAACAAAAATATTCAAATTATAACAAGAAGGTCCTTTATTTGCGGGGAATTATGGGGACATTTCATTTTGAGGAATACACATATACACATGGGGGCGACAGTGTGTATATGTGTATATATGGGGGTGGAGCACTGGTCTTTGGACCAGTGGGTTCGAGCCCACCACTGATGTCTGCTGGCGTTGTGTCTTTGGGCAAGACACTTAACCCCACTTTGCCCAAAGCCCCCGCTGAAAAACCAAGGCCATCTCGTTGATGACGGAGAAACCATCTTCCCGTGGACTCACCACCTGCAGGAGGATCAGATGGCCACCCCCCCGACCCAGAAATAGATTAATAAAGGGGGAGAAAATGACAAAAATGACATGACATTTACACATCAAGGCAAGCAGCGAACATCACTTCCACGCTCCTTATAGGCAAAGTGGGTTAAGTGTCTTGCCCAAGGACACAACGACATCAGACATCAGTGGGAATCGGTGGAGAAGGTCTCGTGGTGGGTTGGTAGAGTATTGGCCTTTGAGCCCACCACGAGATGGTGGGCTCGAATTTATGTCCTGTATTAGTTTCACACTTGAATCACACTGTATTGAAGAAATTAATGAACTTTTGAACAATATTCTAATGTTCTTTCCTAAAACCCACTTTCTCTTGTTGCCGCAGCGACAGAGACGAGCCTGAGATGGGCTACAAACCCGTGCACTTCAGAAAGATCTATCTGAACGAAGACGGCTCCGAGTCGGACCAGAACGAGAACCCGAGGACAGACCCGGACCGAGACCAGAGCAGCGGTCACCAATCTGAGGAGAACGAACCGCAAGAATCTGAGGAAAACTACTCTGATGACCACGAGGAGTTTTCAGACGACAGCAGAGAAGAGGAAGCCAAGTGTTAGGAGAGTAAGAAATATATCTATTACTTTTACTTTTACTACTACTAAATACTCTCATAGTCATAGAATGGAAAATCTTAAAGGAGCAGTTTGGAGAAATCTGGCCACAACTGGTACTGCAGCCTCTCCCACTCTCCCTGACTCAGGTTGCCAGATATGCTGAGGAATCCAGCTGGGACCATGAAATCTGAGTGTTGTAAAACCTATAACCAACACCTTTTTCACAAAGATAGAAATCCTGTTTTTTTTTTCTTGTTTTGTCGTTCATGATTTGAGAATTATAACGAGACTTTTTTTAGTTCTGAGGCCACATGGTATCTTACCAGTGAGATTAGCTCGACACAATGAGTTCTGGCGCCTGGATCACAGACTTTCTGATGGTGAAACGGTGGAGGGCATCCAAATGAAAACAATAATAACTACTACTGCTGTTGTCAGTTAAAGAAGTATTGGAAATAACATGTTTTATTAATGCCTTTGACAGATTATGGCCCTTTTAATGATGACTTGACATGAAAATTGAAGCAGAATATGTAGTTGATAAACATGGATGATGGACACAGATCTCTGTCGAGTGAAAGTGAGAAATAATTTTTGTAAACAAACAAAATTACAATGTAATTTGAAGCCAGGACATCGATAATGGGCGCTCATAATTATTCATACCAACATACTGTAAATATTTATGTGTTTTTATTTCATGCTAAAGATGCTGCTCTTCAGGGGAATGTCATTTAATACAGTTCATGTGTTTAGTTTTGTTAAAAAGTACAATACAAACAGGATATATATTTATTGTGAAGAAATGTTTAGCGGTGTGTGTGTGTGTGTGTGTGTGTGTGTGTGTGTTAATGCAAGTTGTGCATGGATCCTAGTTTTATTTTATTTAAAATCTTTAAAGGTATATAGGAGCATTTTCCCTAACTTTAGGAAAGAACCGCCCTCTCCACTTTTTGAATAAAAATTTTTGGTCTTATATCACCAGAATGATTGACAACTAGGACCAATACTCTCGATGATCCACGCGGAAGTAGAAAATCCTCATATATACCTTAAGTGTTTGTGAACTGTTGATGCAGTTAAGTCATTGTCCTCTAGAGGGCAGCAGACAGTAAGAAATACTTTACCAATGACTTTAACATGAAACATGCACAGGACGTACTGAGCACTTCAGACGTATTTATATGAATCTACCAAAAGTCAGATTTGTCTTTGTTTAGAGCTGTATTCAAACATTTAAACACCATTCTAACTCTGATTCCTACTGGGGTTTTTGAAGAAGAAGAATATCTGTCTGTTTCATACGGGGACTAAAATATACTCAGAGAATTGTGGGAAACGAGCGTGTCTGGTTCAATAAAATCAAATTACTGTTTATTTTGTGTCATGTTTTACTGTTTGTACTTTCATTTTGTCGTCATGTTTGAAATACAATTCTCAATGATACTAAAAACGAATTATTTTTTGCTGGAACGAGCAATTACCACATTTACTTTTATTATAGGAATGAGAGGGAACCAAATCACACTTTAGGTTCCTTCTCTCACTGTGCCTCTGGTGTTTCTCTTCTTTTCTGCCCACACAGAAGGGTCTAAGGACAGTGGGGATGGTCCTGGACATGTTAGACACTTGGAGACGACTGTGAAGATCTGTGTGAATCTCTGCAAAGCTGTCGGGTCCAGAATCGACCCAAGAACAAAAATGCTTTGATGGCTTTTGCAATTTAAGGCAAAATACAGGGATTTGATTTAACGAACGCTTGGACTCACACAGTCTTCTTCAAGTTCACACCTCCAGAGTAAAAGGACAAATCCAGCTGCAAAAATCTTAGTGAAAACAATGTGATAATTACACAACTGCACAGAGACTATTTTCAGGCAACGGAAAACATCTTCCTCTTTGTGCAGTTTGAGTTTTATTGTTATTTTGTGCCTGTGTTTATGTCTGTCGGTTGTATTCTGTGCAGCACTTTGTAAACTTTGGACTCATTTATCAAAGGATTAGCTCGCCTTAGATCTGGAGCAAACTCATTTATCAGGAAGAAATAAACCGAAATTATTTTCCGTTTAGCTCCTGGATTGATACATAAGGCCCTTTGTCTTTGTGACGTGTGCTGTACCATTGAACCACGTCACATCCTCAAAGTCAAAACCATAGTCTGCATATAAATAGACAATGATAACCCGCTAACTCAATGGGGAAGTGCTCATGGAGTAAGTTTTGCTCCAACTAGCTCAGGCTCCACATTGAAAAGTAAACTCCTCTCGCTCAGGACCCTTTTGTGTCAGATTCACCACTTTCAAGTTTTCAAAAGCCATTCAAAAATTGACCAATCGGGTGCTTTCTTTCGCGGGTGGAAACTTCTGACTGCCTTAGCAAAACAGCTAGCAGCTAGCTTAGGGCAATGTCAGCAGTCGTCCCACTCCTAGTAAACGGTCGAGCAAATCAATCTGGAAAGACTCAAGACAAAGGTTGAGTTAGAATGATGTTTATTGGAATATTTCCCTATGAACCCGGCAGACGCATGATGAGGTACTGATACTATAATGTATACTAATACTATAATGTAGTTAGTTATTGTATTTTAGATTTGGTGATTAGACCCTGGCAGAAATATTTAATGACGTCTGCAGCAAGGAATCTAAAAGAGAAGATGAGTGCTAACCTCAGCGCCGAGACCTAGATCAGGTGAGGGCAAACTACTCCTGAGGGCCACAACGGAATATCGTCCGGCTGTCGGGGCCGGACCTAATTTTCAATGTTTTTTTACAGGCTTCATACTTATTTGTAAAAAATGCGGCTCCATTGCTCTGCATGCGGCACAAAGGAATTTTACAGTCATTATACGATATCTTTTATAAACTGAGGGGGGGCTAATCCAAAGGTTTTCCAGCACTGGCCCAGACCCTGGTTCTGGAGTCCACCGAGGCCTAAACCCTGGTGTCGAAGGAAACTGAGCCGATAACTTGAGGATACTCCAGCGATGGGGAGGAGGAGGGTTGCTGAATGAACAGCAGCCTGCTTGATGCAAGGACTGAGCGGCTCTGTGCAGGTGTGTAGCAGAGAGAGGAACCTTGTCTCTGAGTCAGAATTTCTGATGCCGCTGCATAACTGAGAGGAAGAGAAGGAGCTTTTGTACCTGAAGCCATGAGGCCGTGTACTCGGATACATCTGCTGCAGGATACAGTTACATTTCACAGCATATTATGTGTTTGTGACAATAATAAGAAACCGTAACATTCTGTCAAAACCAACATTCTCCAAACATGCATGAAATAACCACCAACACCAGCCTTTATTTTAAAAATATACTTTAATACAACAGCTGCATATAAATATTAAAATATACATTATACAGGTGTACTGAACACTCACACAAAACCAGAGAATAATATTAGGCTTCTATTTGTACGGCACTTCTTGAAATGTATTTTTTGTCTTATTTTTAATTACTGACAGAGTACATACAAGTGTAAATGCAGGTCCAAAGAAAATCTATTATTACGGTGTCGTATCGTGAGACAAACAGGAAAAGACTGTACAATATTTGACAAATGGCAGAGGAATGTTCTCAGGTTTTTCCCATTTTGTTTTTGGAGATAAAAGCAGGATTGATTTTGGTCACTTTTTCCAAACCGCTCCTGCTTTTTCCACCTTGGATTCGAGACAGAGACTTTGACGGGTTTGAGTTCTGACTGTGATTCTTGGAGACGCACAAAACAAAAGATAAATGTACCTATGTAGAGAAATGTCCCTGTGTTTTATAGTCTCAAGCCTTAGGCAAGAGACCAGAGAGAGGGAGACCAGAGAGAGGGAGACCAGAGAGAGGGAGAGACCAGAGAGAGGGAGACCAGAGAGAGGGAGACCAGAGAGAGGGAGACCAGAGAGAGGGAGACCAGAGAGAGGGAGAGAACAGAGAGAGGGAGAACAGAGAGAGGGAGACCAGAGAGAGGGAGAGACCAGAGAGAGGGAGACCAGAGAGAGGGAGACCAGAGAGAGAGAGACCAGAGAGAGGGAGACCAGAGAGAGAGAGAACAGAGAGAGGGAGAACAGAGAGAGGGAGACCAGAGAGAGGGAGACCAGAGAGAGGGAGACCAGAGAGAGGGAGACCAGAGAGAGGGAGACCAGAGAGAGGGAGACCAGAGAGAGGGAGACCAGAGAGAGGGAGACCAGAGAGAGGGAGAACAGAGAGAGGGAGAACAGAGAGAGGGAGACCAGAGAGAGGGAGAACAGAGAGAGGGAGACCAGAGAGAGGGAGAGACCAGAGAGAGGGAGACCAGAGAGAGGGAGAACAGAGAGAGGGAGACCAGAGAGAGGGAGACCAGAGAGAGGGAGAACAGAGAGAGGGAGACCAGAGAGAGGGAGACCAGAGAGAGAGAGACCAGAGAGAGGGAGACCAGAGAGAGGGAGAACAGAGAGAGGGAGAACAGAGAGAGGGAGAACAGAGAGAGGGAGACCAGAGAGAGAGAGAGACCAGAGAGAGGGAGACCAGAGAGAGAGAGACCAGAGAGAGAGAGAGACCAGAGACAGACCAGAAAGAGACCAGAGAGAAAGAGACAGAGAGAGAGAGACCAGAGAGAGAGAGAGAGAGACCAGAGAGAGAGAGACCAGAGAGAGACCAGCGATAGAGACAAGAGAGAGACCAGAGGTTGGGGTTAGGGAGACCATCCATCCATCCATTTTCTTCCCTTTAATCCATTTCTGGGTCAGGGGGGTGGCAATCAGAGATGCCACCCAAGTCTCATAGCACCAGCCCCTCTCTGACCCTCTGCAGGTGGTGAGTCCACAGGAGGACGGCTGCTCTCTGAGTGTGAGCATAGCCTTGATCTTTCAGTGGGGGCTTTGGGCAAAGTGGGGTTAAGTGTCTTGCCCAAGGACACAACGACAGCAGTCATCAGTGGGAGTCGGTGGAGAAGGTGCAGAGGTGGGAATTGAACCCACAACCTTCTGGCCTTATGGCCAATGCTCTACCAACTGAGCTAATGTCGCCCCACCAGTCGAAA